TTCCCACACGTCTTCTTTTATGTATCTTCCTTTTTGCTGTCTAAATCATCGGCTTAAATGTCTGCATTGCCAGGCAGACTCTCCTCAAATTATTCATATATCCAAAGGTATCAAGGGAGGCATCTCCCTCTTCCTGGCAGCGTTCAGGAGAGTAGGGGACCTCAGGTCCCCTAGAATATTTGGGGAAAGGCCCCCCTGTGCCCACTCCCATACTAAAGATGCAGCTTGGGCTCGTATTTTCTCCTATCTAGACTGATGCTCTCTTCCTTCTAGACCATTTCACATTCAGTGGCCTGGGCCCATGGCAGCTGCCTCCATCCTTCCCCTTGACCTATGAATGGGACCAAGACATTGTACCTGTACTACCACAGATCACTTTTGGTCCGGTCAATCTGATCTACTGTTAATCCCTGTTCTCTCCCTTTGGCCCATCTTGAGAAGAAATCCCTCTATGTTTCTATCTGTTTTCATAGACTCTTTGAATAGCCCGCTACAACGGAGTGGCATTGGGCATGGCCCGGTGGCTCTGGTTTGAGGAGTTTGGTCATGGAATCCCATCATTTCCAGTCCAACCTTTGCCATCAGGTCATGGTTAACGATTCTCCAGAGAGTCCTGTAGGGCTGCTCATCCAGCTAGACCGGTCGTAAATCAGATACACACTCATCTGTTTTCTTGCAATCGCTTTTCGTAGGATCCACAATGCCAAAAACAGTGGACAATGTGAGGAAATCGAAACTGGCTTGATATGCAGGGAAGTAATGCATCCTTTGCGTCTCTGATGCGTCGAAGTTCCCCGCCCACGTCGATTTGGCATCCAGCTGAAGCACGGTTTCACTCGTCACCATCTTCACGGGCACACAGCACACCTCTCGGATTCATGGGTGCAAGAGATTCATCACCAAGAGAAAGATGTTGTCCGGTTCGCCAATTAATGGTGCTCATCAAAATCTTAGTAAATTAATGATATCACTCAGCTGGAGTCCCGTGAGGTCCATATATGGTGCAGAGGTGATGTGGCAGCCTCAGCACCTTCGCAGCACTGATGATTATCAAGCAGCTTGGCGGTCAATGAGGTGGGAGACACTCAAGTCATCAGTCAGGCGTGCTACATAATTTTCTAGCATTGCGAGCTCAAGGCACTCAGAAAGCAGGGAGATGACTTCAACAACAAAGATTGACTATGGCAACTTCATCGTACGACCAGAGAGTTTACTAAGATACGGTAAAGATGCCGAGCACAACTCCAATACGTGGCAGCGCATCACACGGAGGCATATGAGACAGACACGCCCGGAAAACAGCTTATAGTACAGAAAAGTACCCAAGTTGCCACTGGACGCATGCGTTTGCTTAGGGGCTGTCCGCCTGGCGGCCTGGAATGCACCTCGGTGACGCGGAGCCAGGAGGGGCGCGTGGAGGTGCCACGTGGTTGTTTGATGGGAATATGGCCCGAGGGGCTTTACGTGGTGGCTGATTGCGGGCAGTTGGGGCGTGTCGGGTTGAGTTGCGGTGAAACTGCGGATGCGGCAGAAAGATTCCGTGTATCAAAAGAGCATCTCTGAGGAATGCGGGGTATTTGCCAGGGCCTGGGGAGTTACAAGTACCTGGGGGGGGGGGGAACGAAGCTGCGGGGGATTCTGTATTGTTGCGCTCGGCCTGGCAGCCATGAGAACGGTTGCGCGGCGTTTGGGTGTGCTACTCGCAGCGCTCTGGGCACTCAGCCTGGCTGCCTGACTCCCCTGGCCGTGTGCGCAACGTTCGCCACGGCCTTAGCGCAATAGCGCTTGACCCTTTCGAAGGTCGCCGCCAGTATGTGCCGTTCTGAGCCGCTTTCCTTGCTGCTCAAGACCGGCACTGCCAGTGCGGTCGTGCTGCTGGCCAAAAGTGACCAACCTTCGCCGGTGCGCAGTCCCATCGGGGCGGAAAGAAGCATCTTCGAGGTATCGTGTCGATACGCTCTGGAAAAGGCTGCCCCCACCCGTGCTGCTGACCTGTGCCCTGATCTCGCTGATCTTTGGGGAGTGGCTGCCACCGGTTGTGGCACTCTGGGGGGCAGTTGTGAGAGGTTCTACAAGGGCGTTTCCACGCTTGACGGTCAGCTGGATGTTTGCCGCTCGAACGAAGCTTCCCTTGCCGTCGCCGTGACAAGCAGTTCTTCGTGAATCGCCAGTTCGCGCGATGGGCAAAGCTTGTTCGTTCAGTACACCCTCAAATGACGTGGTGCTAAGGCTGCTGACGTGATTCATCGTCATCATCATGACTTTTTTACAGAACAAGGCAACGAGGTAGCCGTCAGCTTCCTATTTAGCCTGAGCAAAGCAGAGTCGGTGATTGGTTCATTGGAAACTATTGAGAAATACAAACTAAATCTATCATCTACGAACTTTCGATGCCTAGAAGTGATAATCGATGGTAATACATCAAACGAAGTATGTTTGCAAGTTGGCGAGCTGGAACTTTAGCAAAAAGTACTTTTGCATTGCGACATCGAAAAATGCGAGAGTGGCTTTGACGGATGTTGTCATAGGCTTTGCAGTGGAAGAGAAAATGGATATCGTCTTCAGGTGCCAAGTGGCATAAAGGACACAATCGCCTTGAAAATTCTGGAATGGATTGTCTCGCTTGGTGTCGTTGATTCTCGACTTCTAGAAAACGTGATTCAACTGCCCGTTCAGGGGCGATTTGACTGCACTATCTCTGGAGAAGACGGTCAGAATGGACCGCCGCCCTTTGCAATATACAATTAACTATCTTGTTAATGAGTTTGTGCCAAGGACAACAATGGGTGGGCGCGCGCCGGCCACTCTTGACCGTTTCGGGGCCAATCAAGTACCGGTTTCTGTCAGCCCTGTACCCGGGGTCAGCTCTGACCACCTGATCCAAGGGGCAACCGGGTGATCCTTGTAACCTAATCTTAGACAAGGGTACCGGTCAAGCTGGCCCTTGGGTTTGGCGGGAGGTTTGGCGGCAAGCGGGGAACAGCTATTTGCGCGTGACCCTTGGCGTCCAGCTTTATCTTGTTTCGCACCCACCTGGCCCACCCTAAATGGGTGAGTTTCGGTTAGTTGTGGGATGGAGGACTAGTTGAGTACGAGGAAAGAGGAGCTGACTCAGGGTTGAGTCATCATTGTGGCATTAAGTGTTATGAGAAGCGAGGGCACATTTCAAGGGGGTCGCCAAAATCGGGTCTTGTATTAGTGAGGTGACAGACAACAATGCATTTGTAAGTGCAATGTCTTGTCATGTGGGGAGCAACAAGGGAGGGGGTGGGGGGGGGGGGTTGAAGGGGACCGTATAGCGGAAACACCGATTAGCGACTCTAACACTTGAGGCAATCCATCCATGGGCGGCTCGAACTCACATTCGCCGGTCATTTCGGCAACGGCAAGGAACCTATGAAAAGACTTGCTTCCCATGCCGCAACTGATGGACGGATCCCATTGATGTCCGTTTGACCCTACCTCACGCTTGAACGTGACGGTTGACATTGCACGTGCTTGGGTCCCAAGTGACGTGCTTCCCCCGACATCTTCAACTTGCAGGCTGCATTATGAGGTGGCACACTGGGTTTGCGTGAATGACCCTGATGCACTCACAGTCCAGGTACGAATGCTGAATGCGACGGGGGAAAGCTGGGCTAAGTGACACTGCCCTGCTTTACCACCTGCTGCATTACACTCACGGAAAAGTCCCCAGCGGAGTCCAAACTATGTGCGTTGGCCATACCAGCAAGGACATCATCGATACGCGAACGTCAGCAGCTTGACACGGGCGTACCATGCATCGAAATCGTGTGGTGCGAACAATTCCATGCCGGGCTATCGTTTAGTACAAGCGCCCTCGACAGGCCACAGCACTGAGCACAAATCCATCTACCCACTTTGCCCGAAAAGAGTTGCAGTGCGTGTTGGTGGATGTTGTGCAAGGCTGCGCCAAGGCCTCCATCTGTGAAGCATAGCCGTACCCAAGTCTTCATGCACAAACAATGAAACACATTAGGAACGAAAACAAACAATAACAACGCATTGACGTCCCTGGACTGCACCCACATTGGTTCATGTAGATCGAGTGGAGTATTGCTGCAGATAAATGCAGGCGACGGCATGAAGTTCACTAGCGACAGTGTGCCCAACAGATTATCTTCATACACCTGATGCAGCAAATTCGTTTAGTCTGTCCCGCCGGCCACCACGGAATTGATCTCTCCATGTGCAAGCCTCCCACTCGCGCATATAAATGCATGCTATGCCACTGCTATGCCACTCTGCCTGGTGGCCAACGGCTTCGTTTCATACCCCCAATTTCTCACCGCATCCGTCATTCGCATACAAAAAAGCAGCAGTGAGCCATCCCCTTCTCAATGGAAAAGGCATCAATTCGAAAATCATCGAACCATTCAGAGTCGTAGAACAACCCACTATCGAAGCTCTCAGTTTCTACACTCAGACGAATTCAAACGTTCTCAGCGTGCTGTCTACAATTGACCAAAGGGCTTTGCCCATGGCAGTGGCGGCAGCTGGAAGAAGGCGGCCTGAACGGCGCAGCCTCTCTCCCTGCCAGATGTCACAGACCAGGTACAGGACAGGCGTAGCACTGTCCCCCAAATCTGGCAACCGACTCAGCCAAGTTCAGCCGGGATGTGGGCCACGAATGCAGGGCGTGCACAAGGAGAGCACGCACAAATCCTCAGATGCAAACATGTGGCCGCAGTGCAAACATGTAGTACCAGCCATTCTGGTGACACGTGTGGCAACACCAGCGCCAACCCGTCCAGCCTGAGCACATCACCGCACCCTTTTTGCTAACTGAACCGCCTCTGGAAGCACCGACGTCCTCGACTTGCCCGTGCTGGCAACACTTGCAATGACCTGCTTTTTTCCTCCTTGAGCATTCAATCCCAGCGGGAACTAATTCAACATTTCCTTCCATCCAACAGTCGACAATGCGCGAGTGACTGCCACTGCTGGTACTGGCAATTAGATGCTCAGGCTCATGCAATCTACGTTCTGGAGTGGGCAGCTGCAGCAGCTGCTGCTGCAGCTGCCTTCGTCGCCATCCTGGCTGCGTTCCTCTCCTTCAGAAGCTTCATCTCTTTGGGTACGAGTTTCCGGAGGTCATCAGCCGACATGTTGTCCTCCTCATAGTCGAACTTGAACACGTCTGCACACATCTTAAATTGCAGTCATGTCCAAAGACTGATGCTGAAGAGTTCTGCATCATCATGATGTAACCGTGGGAATCAAGCTTGGCATTCGCGGTGTAAACAGTTTTCTATTTATGGTTATTTATGCATATAATGTTTTTTACGTTTGACACGTAAATAGGTGCTAAAAAATGCGTGAAAATGGGCCCTGTGTACATAAACATAGTACAGACCGACTCAGGAATCCCGGGAGTGGCACCTAGACGCACTGAAGCGTGCAGAAAACGGCGTTGTGTTCAACAACGTCGTTGCCGAGGGCGAGGCGGACGCTGTGTTGGAAGTGCTCGAGGGGACGGAGAACAGATCATTGATTAGCATATCATTACGTAATCTGGGCGTGTCGACGAGCCGTAAGCATGCGTAAATATGGCCGTAAAAATAGCCGTTTCTCTGTTTACGCGTTTTTACGAGTAAAACCATAAAATGCAAAAAGGAGCCGTAAACGTAAAGATCAAGCCTGGTGGAAATGAATCTCGCACAACGCAATGAACAAGAACGGAATGCCCACTGCTCAACATATTCCTTGTGTCAAGAAGACAAACGTCATCCAGTACCCAAGAAGCACACACAGCGGTGAGGGATTAACATCACTTCCCCATATGCAAGGCCAAAAATGGAAGATGTCACACACGCAGGAGAGGATACCCAGATGCTGCACATTTCAGCAACTGGGGCAATGCCGTACTTGGACATGAAGGCTCTGCCGCCTCATCATGATGAACTTCCAGCCACTCGTGGTTCAATGCTTCCATTGCTGTCATTCTTTCGTCAGGGTTGAACTTCAGCAGCTTTTCCAGAAAGTCCATAGATTTGGGGCTTGCTTTTGGGCATAGTTCCTTAAGGGTTTTTCTGTCCTGCAACGTGGTAGTGGACAAGCTGTCACCACTGATCGGCACACGCCCTCCATAGAATCAATCAAAAGTTGAGAACCACTCAGATGTGGTGTTGGGACAAAAGGATGCAGAGTGGGTGATGGGACAGAAAGACAGGACAACTTTGCTGTGTTGCATGGGTGCTGGGTAGGCACATGGCCCTGCCTCCACAGGGACATCTCTACAGCACCAATTTTCATAGTCTCCCATCAGTTTCCGATGACAAATCTGCAGAATGGATCAAAAACTGACTTCGCTTCCATGGCTTCCCTTGCACCGAGTTTTGTGAAATAGGTGAACAAATGCAAGTGCTGATGACGATCAATACCAACTGCTTCACCCCTGCAGGACAGGAGACATTTGTGGCAAGGATGGAGTCATCGTCAGAGTCCCGGCTGCATCACTGATGATTGCAAAGGCAGCTGATCACCAATGCAAGGTCTTGTTGAACAAGAGCCACACATACTACGGCTGAAGAAACTTTCCAGCAACAAAATTGGGCACACCTCTGGTATCTTTATGTTTCTGATGAAAAGCTGCAATTTCTCGTCTTCCAAAAAATGCAGCTCTTCCTCAGTTGGACGACCCAGTGTTCGCACAATGTTCTCCAACTGGTTCAGTGGAGTCTTTCCTGGGAACAGTGTCTTCCTCCGGATCAACTCAGCCAGAATGCAGCCGACTGACCACATATCAATTGCAGCCGTGTAGTGGCAGGACAGCAGCAACTCTGGTGCACGGAACCAGCGTGTGACCACATAAAGGGTCATGTCTTCACGCTTGGTGCTGGATCAGCAGCACAGAAGAAGAGGACTGTCAAAGAGATGGGCATCAGCACTGCTGGCCTCCACAATCCACCAATTTGAAGTTAATAGCAGGGTTGCAACGAGTGCAATGCAACCCGTGTTTTAGTTGGAACGCTATTTCATAGAGACTGTGGGCAATTGTGAGATATTGTGCAACCCCACGTGATATGCTGGCCAGTTGCTGAAATAAAAAACTCAAAAATCCAATGCAATCGCAGTACACAAGTCCGCCTGCTGAAGTGCCAAAGAGGTCTGGGCGATGCTGCCAGGGAATATTTTCTCATCATGTCTCGTCCATGTTTTCTCACTATGTGTTCTCTGTGCAGCCAGTCTGGCAACGTCTGCTGACTGGGCAAAGGGATGCACGCATGACTTACGTACCCTGCACCCATCGCCCTTGCCAATCCAAAATCGCAGATCTTCAATTCGCAATTTGAGTTGAGGAGCAAATTCGACGGCTTCAAGTCCCTGTGTATGATATTCGCAGAGTGCAAATACTTGAGACCCTTCAACAGCTGCACGGAGACACACACTCGAAATTCAGTGTGTAACTGACAGGGCACCAAAGACGCCCTTGGCTTCGGCCCAAGGGCCAGTGCAACATCGGCATGAAATGCTTTCCTCTTCCCCTGCGATTTGTTGCCAGCCAAAATACGGGCAACGGCCAAGAGCAGGGACGTTGACTTCACCCAATCGCAAGATTCCAATCCCGGCATCCACCACGACCCACGCCCTACTCCGCCTGTCGCGCGCGACAAAACAGTTGACGTGTCCCAACCTTGCAAACACCATCAAGCGCCCATGAGGATTCATGGCCCTGTGCACGAGGGGGTTTGGCGCAGATTTTCCCTCCCCTCCCGCCTCTCGGCAATCGCACCTGCCAAATGAAGTACTGCAGGTGCTCCTCCGACAGCGGCTGCGACGACCTGATGATCTGGTGCAGGTCAGTGTCCATGCACTCCTGCACCACGTACACGTCCTCGAGCGGCCGCGTGGGCGAGGGCAGCATGATGTCGTGGATCGCGATCACGTTCTCGTGCTCGATGTGCCGCAGCAGGTTTATCTCGCGCATCGTGCGCTTGGCGTCCACGTCGTTGCTGAACGCGCCGCTGATCTTCTTGATTGCCACCCTCTCCCTGGTTTCCCGGTTCCGGGCGGAGCACACCAGGCCGTAGGCCCCCTTGCCCACGGCCTTGATGGGCACGTACTTGTCGTCCACCTCGAAGAACTTGTCCTGCCACACGTGGTAGCGCGACTTGCCCGGCGTCTCACAGGCCACCTTCACGGGCACGCTGGACTGCCGCGCCTGCGTCATCGCCATGTCGGGCGCCCCCGCGGGTTCGCGCCCCGGGCGTCCGCCTTGGTGTCGAGGCGGGGGAGGGGCGGGCCGCTTAGGTCAGCCGAAGCAGCGTTTGTGGCACGTCCCGAGGGGAGGGCGCATGGCGCCGCGCAAACCTCCGCGAACGGCTTTCGGAGTGCGAAGGTTGGATGCGGCAAGGACGGGAAGCTGTCGGGGACGCCCCAGCGGGGTATCGGACGGGACGGGGGCCACATCGGACATGGGATGTTGAATGCTGGATGACGTCCGGAATCTCTGGTGACGTCTATCAGCGTCTCCCAGGGTCGCCCTCTTTTGCTTTCGATCTGCGCCTTCGATCTCGCCGCCGGGCGAAGCGGTTGAGGGATGGTCGGCGCGGAAAAGGGCCCAACCTCGTCTGAGAATGGGCTCCATCGCGTCACCCATCTGCGGCCCATATTGCACCCCGCTCCACTTTGGAGAAGTGGGATTGTAGTCCCGGCCTGGTCGGCATGTTAAAAGGAGTTGCCACTTGAGCAGTGGCGCTGCAGGGACGGCTTTTGTGCTTCAGGAGCGGCAACGTGGATGGTCATCTAGGGCGCAACCTTCGTCCGCTCGACGAACAGCTGCCTTGCATCCCTGCTGTGTACTTTAAACCAAAACTCTCTGGCAGAATGATTGGCACAAACGGGAAGAATTTGCCTCTGGGCCCTATTGATGATTGTCAGGCATGTAACGCATTCTAAGGCAAGGCGTTGAGCGCCTCATTCGCGAGCGCATAGAAGTACATGAGCAGTCAGACGTCAAAAAGCATCAGGTGGTCACTCCATGGCTCACATTTGCTTAAAAGACAAAACTTGTCCCTGCCCCTGGTTTTTGTAAATGTTGAGATTTCTAGGCAACAGGAAGGTACCGTAACTAACAGATCTATTGTACTCCTTGTGAATAACAGGTAGCATTGATTTCTGGCCATATCCCACAATTAGAAGATCGCAGTGCCCAGTACAGCTGGGCTTCCCCACAAAGTGAATAGCCAGCAAGCCGCCATCTTGACAACTTCCTATCGCTGTCGAATTGAGGCATTGTGTGCACATACAGGTGAGAGCAGGTCAACAGCAAATTCATGAGTCTGAGTGGCCGAGCTAGTGGAGGGAACATTTGTCCAATGGAGGCAGGCCACTCCTTGGACTCCATACATACAGGTCAACAAACTCATACAGTGCAGCTCCAAAATGCGACAGCACAACAACACAATGCGATTGCATCGTTCTTGCAGCAAGCAATCACCACACAAGTCACAGCAACATTGCATGTCAACCAATTAACCAATCAACTTTGCCCTAGACAAGCAGCGACAGTCTCCCAAAATGCCAGCTGCAATGTACCAGCCTTGATTTGGCAGCAAGATCTTGAGGCCATGGAACAGGGCCATAAAGACTCCCCTAAAACTTTAGGCACATCTCCCCATAAACCCTTCATAGTATGCAAACGCTAAAAAGTCAATGCTTGCCATGTCGTCCTGCGGGCCCATAGCTTTTGGAGGAAGTGGAATTGTTCACGCAAGCGAGACGGACGCGGCATATGGCGCTCAAGGCGCGGAAATGATCTCGGCACCAATCTCCTGGGGGCCCAAGCGAGGCTCCGTGACACCCGCCTGCAACACCCATCCACCGCCATCCGAATGGCAGCCGTTGGTCCCATTGAACGCTGCGGATTCCTCACACGCTCACCCCCGCGTCCAGCATCCCCCGGCAGCCTAGGCGCCTGGGCACCAGCCCGATCCTAACTCCCGAGGAGGTGCTGCTCCCCTTCTCCCTGGTTCTCCACGTCCCGCCAACTCATCAGCGACCTCCCATAGTAGAGAATGCCGCCCAGTATGATGTAGAAGCCAGAGGCCACGTAGCCCACAATGAAGGTGGTTTCGAAGACTGCAGTGTCCACCCCCGACCAGTGCACGCCCCCGTCCTTTTGGAACAGGCTGACCACATCGCGTTTGTAGCCTTGCAGCACCAGCGAGCACAGCAGCACGACGAGGCCCAAGTTCGCGCACGCACTGGTCATGAAACCGTACCAGAAGCCCGCCTTGCGCTTCTTCTTTCGAAGCGTCAACCTTTGCACACGCGCAATCAACAGGATTACCAGCTGGAACCCTCTCGGACCAAATGGCGCAGCTCAACGCGCCCACTGCCGAAGAACGCGTGAGCTAGGCGTCAAGAACGCGGCAACGGCAAAACGGCGCCATAGGCAGGCTGGAGAGCGCAGCATTTGAGGGGCGCACCACGACAGAAGGCAGAGCGAGAAGACACTGTAAATGAAGACCAGGCACGGGCCGAAGATGGACGCCACCAGCAGGGACCACAGGTCGCCCTCGGGCTTCTTGGTCTCGACCTCCGCGCGGTACACTTTGGAGAAGGTCGACAGGGAGAGGCCAACGTACAGGAGGCCCACGGTGGTGGTCCAGATCCATGACGTCCACAGCAGCGCCATCGTCGCCGCGGCCGCTCAGGGCGGAGGGCGCGCAAAACTCCTTCGGCCTGTGCGTGGGGCCGCGCTGCTGTTGTTGTGGATGCATCGCTGACTAGGCGGCGGTGACAGAGCAGCCCTTGCAGTGTTTTTCCCGCAATTCCTCCCATCAAGACTTGCGGAAATGGCATAATAGGTGCCACCAACTCTGCGGCCTGTGACCAACGTTCATGGCGTCCCTCCGCTACATCCTCCTGCTGCAGAAGGACGTCCCGAAGGCCGTGAAGTTCTACTGCCAGGGCCTGGGCTTGACGCCCAGTGTCTTCACCGAACGCTGGGCCGAACTCAAGGCGGGTGACGCCACAATTGCTTTGAAAGCCGTGGAAGGGTAAGAGCCGTTTGGTGATGTCGCAGCCCGCCGGGAACTCCACACCACTGGCTTGCAGGCGGCAGCCAGCGTGAATGGCTACCTGAACAAGGGCGCTTGCAAGTACTTACGCTTGCCGTTGGCTTTCTTAGACATTCACTTCTGGAAGCAAAGCCCACTGCTTCTGTACTCATGTCTTCACAACGGCACAATTGCCGTTTGGTGTGGTCTCCCTGGCAACATCGGCATCTGTTTCCATCTCATCAGCTTCCATCAGCGCCACAGCATCTATTATTTTGTATCCCGACTGGCGTGACAAAGCCCTTGCTGTGATAAGACACCATCGGCTCCTCTGGTTCTGGGCGAGCTGAGCGGATAGGTCAGAGTTCAGCGCCTGCTGTGTCGCCATGTGCTCTCAGGGAGGCGCTCTGCAGCGTGGGCTATTCCCCCTTCCTGTCTTTTACCGTGGAAGATCTGCAAGAATCTGTGATGAGGATGGCAGACCTGGGAGGGACACTGGATGGACCAATAAGATATCCTCCACAGGGAAAGGTGCACTTGTGCAACGACAGGGAAGGTGTTCAGAATCTGTTCTTCCGTCTCTCTGCATTGCGAAGCCACCATTTGCACTGCGGTAGTGAGAGCACTATACTGCAGGGAATACCGCAGTAGTCCTGAAGTAGAATTGGGCTTCATTATTTGCCGACTGGTAACTTCGAGATGCCACCACTGTGGTCCCCATGGGACAGCATCTGGCGTCTTATCGTTGCTTTCAAACTCAGATATCCTGGGCAGCAGGCTGTGGGTCAGTGCCACTTTTCATCAAGCAGCCTCTGTATACACTTGGAACCTGAACTGGTTGCAACTGAAAGTGCTCTGGTTGCCGTTTGTTGCATGCTCAAAGAGTTCGATCCTTTGTGGCTTCCAACATTTTCAGGATGTGCATGCTCTAGGATAAACCTGCAGAACATTGTGCGTATTGGCTGCAGGTCGCTGTGATGCGAGCTCCAGATGGCCACATGATCAGCCTACTGGAACCTGCACAGGGCTGAGGGTCGCGCTGAGACTTGCGCTTGCATGGGGTGGTTCGGTTGCCTGGCTGACAGTTGTGCAGGTGCACTGATGGCGGTGCTCAGAGCTTCAGGCTATCAATAGCTCAGTAGAGGCACGATTCATGCCAGTGTGGACACTTTGCCTAAGTCCATATCCAAGTGGAAGCCTCGGATATGTCCATGACAGTCATCCCTCCTGGGCCCGCCTCGCATGACTCTGGGAGGTTCTCTGCTTCTGTGTTCAGTCAGCTCGATGACAATGCTGGTGGCAATGGCCATAGGAAGCTGAGGTCAAGTAGAGGCAGAACAGCAACACAACCATAATGTATGTGACTGGGAGGGTGGTCTAATGCAGAAAACAGCACCCCCTGGAAACGGGCTCTTGCTGTTTTTTTGCTGAACTTGCCAGCTGCACACCTACATGTGGAATTTCTCCATCATTTCAGTTGAGAATGCGGGATGGCACACTCCCCACACGCCGTGTGCAGGTAGGTGTCAGGACATGTGTTCAGGGATATGCGTGCCAAAGGCCCACCTGTTGCCATTACTATCACCAGCATGGAAATGGTACTTTCCTGTTAAAGTTCCACATCCTTCTTACCTTCGGGAGCAACTGTTGCCCACAATTTCCGATACACATCACTGTCTCCAATTTGCAATCCTAGTTTCACCAAACTTCGGCCAAAATCCTGAACGTCCAAAAAATGCTGCATGGACACGAGTTGTGGGTCAGTCAGAGAGCCTTTGTTCCCAGCAACCGAGTCACCCGCATCGCCTGCGCGACCCTTGTTTATGCGTTTTAAAGATGACCGGCTTTTTTGTAAAAAGGTCAGCAACTCGTT